TCAAGCTCTCCAGCAACCGAATCGGAGACAAAAGTGCACAAGTTTTTGGTGAAGTCTTACAAAAGAACACAGTGAGAGAAAACGCCACTGTCTACACCTCTCTGGTCTTCATCGTTCTTATTTCATGCAGACACTCACAGATCTCTCCTTCGACACAAATCAAATTGGAGATGAAGGTGCACAAGCTCTTGGTGAAGCCTTACAGAAAAACACAGTGAGACAAAACACCACTCTCTATAGTTTTCTCATCCGTATGTTTCCTATTGCATTCAGACACTCCGAGTCCTCGACCTCGGCATGAATCGAATCGGAGACAAAGGTGTACAAGTTTTTGGTGAAGCCTTACAAAAGAACACAGTGAGAGAAAACACCACTCTCTATACCTCTCTGGTCTTCATCGTTCTTATTTCATGCAGACACTCACAAATCTCGCTCTCGAAGACAATCAAATCGGAGATAAAGGTGCACAAGCTCTTGGTGAAGCATTAAAAAACAATACAGTGAGACAAAACACCACTCTCTAAATATTTATCATCTTAATCTTCCTTATCTCATACAGACACTCACAGAACTCTTCCTCGAAGTAAATCGAATTGGAGACAAAGGTGCACAAGTTTTTGGTGAAGCGTTACAAAAAAACACAGTGAGAGAAAACACAATTCTCTGGGTATTTGTAAAAGACGCGAAGACCTAGGAGGATCCTCAAATCGGAAAATCGTCTTGCTAAGAAATAGAGTTCTGTAGGCTGGCTCTATGAAGATCGACGAAGACCGAAAATAGTTAAAAATAAAAAAAAACTTCCAATCGGGATTGAGGTTTTGACTCCAAGAAGATCCATGAGGACCGGCGAATACTCACGAAGATCCAGAAATACCCATTGGTTCCGGTAGTTAGATAGAGCTACGCGAGTTATATACACTCTGAACATTTTTGCTTTCTATGTGCTTGGTGAAAGAAAATGGGAAGGATCATACGTTCTCAGTTACTAGAGGTTGTACTAAGTGAATAAGCCTTCATGGTTGAGGAGATTTGGTCCTTGCTATTTGCTTTCAGGAAGCATGTAGGAAGCCGAAGTTTTTAGGGTGTATAGAACTCGAGTGGCTCGATCTAACCAGCGAATAATATGGGTCTTCCTGGATCTTCGTGAGTCTTGAAGGATTCAAAAAATCATTGCGTACTGGAATTGTTTTTCTTTGCAACCATTTTGGGTCTTCGTGGAACCTCGTAGGGTTGGCCCATAGAACTCTAGTTATTAGCAATATCATGTTTCGATGTGAGAGTCTTCGTGTCTTTTAAATGTACCCCAATTCTGAGCACTTCTCTGATATTCATCTTTCTTATTTCATACAGACACTCAAAAAACTGGACTTCCGCCACAATAAAATCGGAATGAAAGGTGCACATGCTCTTGGTGAAGCCTTAGGAAAGAATACAGTGAGAGAAAACGCCACTCTCTGTACTTCTCTTATCTTCATCTTTCTTATTTCATACAGACACTCACAGAACTCTACCTCGCCAAGAATCAAATCGAGGAGAAATGGAGACAATACCTACAAAAAATTGCCGACAAAAATACATGGTTACGCATAACTTGATGAGGAAGACTCTGGTAGAATAGAGGAAATGTCATTGTATTCTGCTTTAAAATAAAACGTATATACCTGATTGTGATTGACCAATTGCAAGTACAACTTTAAGAATAGTTTCTTTAAATTGTTGACTATCAGCAATTAAATGTACTAGAACATCATGAAGTAACAGTATCTTTACTTAAATAACCGAATGTATATTGATTTGCAAATAGAATGGAAAGAAAACCTTTTTAATCAGAAAATAATGATACCAATCTCTGTTTGAGGTAAAAGTATTTGAATAATCATTTAGATATGTACAACATTGGAAACATTAAAAAATAGATATTTGAAGTAGAAAAGATTGTTTTTCTCCAGTAATCATTGTATAAAGGAGACTTAATAATATTGATTTAAAATTGATTCTTTTTGATTCCAGTCCCGATCTTAACAATCTTGAATCTAGTGTGTTCTTGATCCCAGTTCAGAGCAAGCAACTATTTTTTCAATGATCCCGTTGTCGAAAATTTATCAAAATAAATTTCTGTACTATGGAAAGAGGTCATAGTAATTCAATAAATGGGTTCATCGAAATCGAGAAATTAAACTAGCACATGTTGAAATAACAAAATCGTGTTATTGCGACACTTCCTTTAAAGGAACTACATAAATACTTTGCTTCGCATTATATTGAAAATTGTAGAAGACAGAAAGCAGCTTATCGAAGACTTAGATCTATTGTCTGAATGCGGCATCTTTTGAAGAAGAAAGCTTATTTATATTCCAACCAATGATGAATGCTAAGCACTAAAACGTAGTTCATTTACTATGTACAGATTATCATAATTTTTCAGATAACATTTAACAATGTATATACATCTCAGCATTGCGATTATTGTAAGATTTATTTTTAATTAACTAACTAAAAAATTGTTTTTCTTTTCTTTAGATTGTTTTAGTTATAAAATCAAGTGTTAATGCTATTGATGTTTGTAAACTTTGTCAATGTTCTGACGATTTAACATTGATAAATTGTGACAAAAAAGGATTGCAAAACCTTGATAATATTGATTTTCCATCGAATGTTAAAACGTTGACACTTATTAATAACAGCCTCAAATTTGATACAAGTAACAAATTTCTATATTTAATTGGTATACATTTATTTTGTTATAGTAAATGATCGTACAAAAATCGAATCTCTACCGAAATTAACTAATCTAATTCTTAATCAGAATCCACTTGAAATAATTCCACCATTTAACATACGAACCTTACAATTTCTTTCATTAGAAGATACATCATTAACATCTGCTGAATTTCCTATATCTTATAATAATTCTTCTCTACAACGAATTTCACTTAGTAATAATAAAATTCATTCGATAAATGAAACTGATTTTTTAGTTTTACATAATTCACAATTAACTGAATTATCTTTGAAAAATAATCAATTAAAATCTTGTGAATTTCTATTAAATTTACCTCGTCTGTATTCAATTAATCTCGACAAAAATCAATTTACTTCACTTCCTGAACAATTAACAACACCAGGAAAAATTAGAAACTATTCATTTATGCATAATTTCATAACAGTTATTGATGAAACATCACCATTAAATATATGGTTAAAAAATAATTATACGAATATGAAAATTTATTTAACAAATAATTCATTGGATTGTTGTTTATCTTTCTGGTTTATACGTTTTTTAAAAATATCATTTGAAATTGTTGGAAATGCATCATTATTAACATGTACTAGTCCGTTAAATTTTGCAGGAAAATTATTGATTGATCTTAATCCAGATGAAATGAATTGTCATAATGATATAACGAAAAAACCTCGAGTTATTGGTATTATTAGTGGATTTATTGGTATTATAATCATTAGTATTGTAGCCGCATTTATCTGGAATCAACGTCGTCCATTACGTTCTGGTTATCGAGAAATCGATGGCATCGATGAATCATATGGTGGACCAGCATTTCCAATATCAGATGAAGAAATTCAATAAGCCGCCGTAATACCTAATATTCACTGAATAATTCTCATATACATCTATTTTTTTTTGTTCGATATTTTCTCTGTATGCAATTTATTTATTTAATATAGTAAATATTTTAATAATATTTCAGATTCTTTCATTGAACATGAAATCCATGATACATTATTTGGTAAAAAAGAATAATCTTGAAAATTTCTTTTTACCAATAGAATTTTATTTATTTTTAGTTAATTGTGATTGTGTTTACTGGTTTAACAACAGGTGAAATTCATAATGTATGTGAAATATGTACCTGTGATAATCTTGATAAACCAATTACTGTGCATTGTGATTCAAAAAACTTATCGAATTTAACTAACATTAGATTTAATTCAAGTATTGAAACACTTTCATTTATAAATAATTCGTTAACATTTAAATCAGGTAGATTTTTTAAAAATAATTTTCAATTTCAAATTCTTTTTTTCGTAGTTGGTGATCTTGAAACAATTAATAATATAACATCATTAAAATCATTAATTCTATCAAATAATCCATTATCAACGATTCCAGAATTCTCATCATCTAATCTAACTAATCTTCAATTAGAAAATACATATTTAAAAACAGCTACATTTCCTAAATCTTATGAAAACAGTACAAATCTTCAATCAATTGTACTTTCAAACAATAAATTAGGAAAACTTACAAGAGAAAATTTCAAATCATTATCTTCATTAACAAAAATTTCTCTTGATAATGCACAATTAAATACCATTGATCATGATACATTTACAAGTATTTCTACAAGTCTTCAATCGATTTCATTAGTATCAAATTCACTTAAATCAGCTGAATTTTTACCTACATTAAATAATCTTCTATCAATTAATTTTGATAAAAATAAATTTCAACAATTACCAACAGAAATTATTAAACCAGTTCGAACAAAACATTTCTTTTTTCGTGATAATCAAATAAATATTATTGATGAATTATCACCGCTTTATTATTGGACAAAAACAAATCTCACTGGTATTGAAATCTATTTAAATAATAATCCATTTGATTGTTGTCAATCACGTTGGTTTATTCATTATCTTACTGGATCAAATAATCTTGTTAAAGATTCATTTAATCTTACTTGTGCTTTACCACAAGCATATACCGGTAGACGATTAATTGATTTACATGTTGATTCAATGGATTGTTCAACTAAACCAGTTTATCCATCAAATAAATTAACAATTATTGTATTGTGTCTTATGGGTGTTTTTATATTTATCTTGATTGCTGTTGGAACAGCTTTACGTCGACGTAATAGAAATTATTTTGGACGTCGACAACAATATGAAACAATTCCAAGTGCTGATATACCTACATAAATCTATGTCTGATATTTTAAGTCATTTTTTATTCTCATATTTCATTTAATAAAAAAGAAGAGACAAAATATTTTTTTTTCTCTTTCACAATATTGAATTTATTTATCATAATTAATATTAACGATAATTACAAAAAATCTTCTTCTGGTGGAATAATAGCAACAATAGGTGGTAATGGTTTAATAGGTTTTCGAAGAAGTAGTTTATCTCGTTTTATTGATAATCTTTTCGATGCAATAGTTTGTAAATGAGATTTTAAATTTTTATCATCTTCAGTTTCTCCGTCTTCACCACTATCCATATCACTGGTAAAAAACGAACTTTCAGAAACATCACCATCAGAATATGCTGAAAGACGTCGTCCAGGATCAATAATTTTTGGTAGAGATAATAGATTTTGTTTGCTATCTTGTAAACTCATAGATAATTTTGAAAGATGTATAGATAATGGTTCATTCATTGATTTTGATGGACGAATCTTTGGAAGAATAACTTCACTAGATGAACGATCACGCATTTTCAAAGGTTGATCTGAATATGTTGAATTAATATTATTATGAAGTAATGCAAGTTTTTTTTCGAGTCGTTTTTGTTCATATGCAAGTGATTGTAGATGAGTAGATGATTTTCTTCGTTCAACATCGACTAGACGTTGTTCAGCAACAACAAGACGATCTTGTGCTTTTGTATGTTTAGTTCGTGTATCCAAAAGACCATTATGAAAAGGTACAGTACGTTGTGGTGGACGAAAAAACTAGAATTATGTAAAATAGTAATAAAATCTATACATGTTTTATTAATAATCTTACTTTAAAAGTAAAATCATAGTCTGATATAGGCATTTACGAATGCGCCTCCAGCTCCCACACTACAATTATTAATCACCTATGCGTCGCCGTACTATAAACATGAGTTTTCTCGTTTTTTTTTTTTTCTTCATTATAATTGCTGTCGTTTGATCAACGGGAATAGTGAAGAAAAACATAGTAGTAACTTTCTTTCCAATAAACGACGAACGAGAGTATTTTCATTGGTGTTATATCACGCCCCCATTAACATTATGAACGATGCATTATGTAGGAGCATAAATATATATATTTGTTTTTCTTCAAAATTAAACCTTCAAGGTTTTCAATCAACAAAGAAAATTATATATAATTTCAAGAAAAACGTTTACAAACATGAATCTTTCTTTGAACTAAATGAACTTACAAAAAATTGTATAACAAGTTGGATATCAAAGTACAAAAGTGTTTGGTTTCATTTATCTCATAAAATTCTCTTAAGAAAACGATTATTATATATAGATGTCGTATTTGACAATTGGTAGACATAAGTAATTTTGAGAAGAATATCGAACTATTTATCCAAATATTACCAAGAGAGCATCTGAATAACATACTATTGTATGGAGAAAAGTATTGAAGTAACTTTGATTTGTATTTATAAAAATAGACTACCATAAAAAATATGAAATAAATGAATCTATTGCATTGACTTGTGAATAATACTGATGAAATTTCATTAAAAACATTTTTGTCCTTATTTAGTGGTTTCAATGTCTGGATAAGCAGAACATATTTTTTTGTGTTATGAAATAATTGAAAACATACTTCGATTTATGATTCTTTGTAATTCGAGAAAGAATCGTGATGCCTTGATGCGTACATTTTATTTTCTTCGACATGACGAAGTTAATATTCATTTGTTCTCTATCCGACTAGAAACAATGTGAAAAATAGAAGAAGAAAAAAAACTGTATACACAATTAATCGTAAATGACGTCAAAGAAAGAGAATATGCTACGCGATAAACAAGTCATATGCATAAAAACACGCGGAACTCTTACATGACGATGTCTCCCTCCTTCTTTTGCGTCGATGGAAAATACATAATAATAAAACGAACGTAAAAAAGGGTGTGTCTCTTCATTCTGTTGGTTATTCGATTTCTTTTGCGTTCTATGATTGGCGTGTCTAATACATTGCATCATATAATTTCAACATCAAATACTAAGTGTTCTTTTCATCATAGTCATAAATTGTACAATGGCTTTGGATTTTGGCTTTGGATTTGTTGCCGGAGTGACCGGCACTATTGCTGGTTATCCATTTGATACAGTTAAAGTTCGTCTTCAAACTCAAACACTTAATCATCGATTATATTCTGGTTCATTAGATTGTTTCATTAAAATTGCTAAACAAGAATCAATATTAGGATTTTATAAAGGCATGTCATCACCTATGATCGGTGTTGCACTTATAAATGGTATTGTATTTTCTGTTCAAAATGCGTCGAAAGGTTTATTTGATAATCCTGATACATATACAGCATTAGCAATAACGGGTGCTATGGCAGGTTGTGTACAAGCATTTATTTGTTCTCCAATTGAACTTGTTAAAACACGTTTACAAATACAAGGCATTGGACAACAAAGAAAATTATTTGCATTATCAACTCATTTATATAATGGTCCAGTAGATTGTTTAAGGAAATCCTATGATAGACGAGGTTTTCAACAAGGTGTTATGCGAGGTTTATCAATGACATTAGCACGTGATATTCCATCATTTGCAGCTTATTTTCCAGCATGGCAATTTTTTGTTGTACATTGTTCTCCAACAGGTAAAGAATCAGATATGCCAATGTATATGAGTTTAATTGGAGGTGGTTTTACTGGGATTGCTGCATGGACTGTATCCTATCCATTTGATGTTATTAAAAGTCGATATCAAGCATCAAGAGAACATGTTTATAAGGGTGTATGGGATTGTGCTGTAAAATCATTTCGTACGGAAGGATGGCAAGTATTTACTCGAGGATTTTTACCGTGTACACTTCGTGCTATTCCAACGAATGCATTTACATATCCAGTTTATGCACTTTTAAAACGAACATTTGATGCACCACGAGATGATGACTCAATAATTACAACACCAGTACCAACAACAACTAAACCTGTTATTAAATCAAAATCATCAGTACCAACAAAAGTAAAACCACCACCACCACCGTCGACTTCATCGATTTCTCCGATTCAATCTATGTAATACAAGAAAGAAAAAAAAAGAAGGGAAGTTTTTTTTTTATATTCGTTGTCTTGATTTTTCTATTTAAAACTTGTGTATGTCAGATAGTAATATTGATTGCTCAGTTTTCCCTTTCTTTTTCTAGTTGTTCTTTTTTATTTATAAGCTTTGTATATATATATATTAACCCTGTTTGTAATCTCTTTCTGTTTCTCGTTTTTTTCCTCTTTCATCTGTTGTTATTTGTACATAATATATAACGTTGTAGATCTGGTCTGATGTTTATTATAAAGATTTTTTAACAAATAGATCGAAAGAAAAAAGACTTGAAGTCAGAATTTAACTTCATTGTTTGTAACTATCGATAATCAACAGAACGGTAAAATTCTATCTGCTATCATTCCGTCGATGAAAACAATAGATTTTTCTGTACTGCTCATCTGTCGTATATTCGTCCGTTTTAACTTGTATGAAACGAATGAATCAATAAAGAAATATATATATCAGTACATATACGTATGAAACATCATACATAACACTACACATCGCTTTAAATAGTCATCTCATTTAATAATAAGATGAAACGTTTACAAGCAATGCCACCCCCTCCTCCTCCACCAATACCACCGACCAGAGTACATATTTCACAATCTACAACACATACATTAGACGAATCAATGAAACCTAAGTAAATTGTTATTTATCATTTAATTTTGTTTTATAATAATTTTTTAAGGAAAAATGATAATAAACCAGCTACTAGTGGTTACTGGTGGGATGTAGCTCATGTAACAAGTCGTCTTTTTGAAAAAGAACAAATTATAAATAAAGAACGTCGTCTTACATTTCGTCGTATTGTTAAGATATTCGTTTATTTACTTTTTTTTCTTATTGTTCTTACATCAGCTGTCGTTAGTAAACTTAGTCTTTTTACAATGATCAATGCATATAAAAATCTTGAACAAGTTTGTTTCATTTTTAAAGATAAAAATTAAATATTCCTTCTCATATTTTTTAGCCTAAAACATATATTATTAGATGGCAAATGCTCATACTTATGGCAATGATTGTACCTTATATATTAACATTTATACAAAGTGTTGTCTTATCTTTTATTCGTATTAAACATTCTCCACCATTTCTACTTACTATATGGGTATAAATAATTAAAAGAATAGAATGTTTTATTGAATTATTATTTTATTAGGTTCATATCGTTGAAACATGTCATACCATTGGTCTTTCCTTACTTGTATTTCGTATTTTACCTTCTTTGGATAATGTCACTGGATTATTTATATTAAATGGTGTATGTATAGTTCCAGCTTTTTTAAATTTATTTTCATCAAATCGTCATCATAATCAAAGCATAAGAATCTTAGCATTTATAACCGATTTAGGTTCAGTATTTATGCAATTATCTGTTTGTTTTATTCCCTATTTTGTTAAAACAACAGACAAAATATCTTATGATCTTCGTTGGCAATTACCATTAGCACTTTTTCTTATATCACTTGGTTATTGGGAAAGTTTTATTGAAATGCGTTTATCAAAAAAATATGTTTTTTCATGGTTTCGTCATAGTTTACGATTATTAGAAAAAACACGTCCAAAAGTCTATTTAACAGCAAGTCTTTTAAAAATTATTGTATTAATTATATCAGCTATTTGTTTTCTACCAAACACAGTTGATAAAAATTTATATTTACAAGTATTTCGACAAGTACCAATTAGTGAAAAATATAGTCGAGGATTTGGAATTTTCGATGAACATGAAGATCTTTTTCGAATAACAAAAGAAGTTTATGCACCATTTATTATACAAATCTTTTCATCATGTATTTGTTATTATACTGGACGTATTGCTTGTAAAGTTTTAATGCAATGTTTTGGTTTTTCATTACCATTAACAATGTCAACACTCGTTGCATATATAGTTTTATTTTTTACTCACGGATATACAAATAAAAAAGATACGATTAGTCTTGGACATCTATTTTATTTAGATAAACCACAAGGTAAAAAAACACATTTTGTTATTATAAAATTAAAAAATATTTTTTTGTTTTTAAGCTCTTGGTTCAAAACTTCTTATTACTTCTTTAGTTGGATTTTTAATTCTATGGTTATCAAGAATGAAAATAACTAGTCATGTTTGGTTTCCAACATCTGAACGATTAGCACAGATCCATAAGTTTGTATTAAATTTATTTGAATCTTAATTCAAACAATTTTTTTTCTTTCAAAATAGACTTTTTGTTCTTCCATATTATGAATCAGCAATTGTTGAACAAAATTTATTACTTAACAAACAAGAAAAAGATGAAATGGAAATGAAAGATCAAATTGAACCTGATTTAACACTTCGAAGAAAATTTCCTGTACCAATGATATATGTATGTGCAACAATGTGGCATGAAACTACAAGTGAAATGGTTCAACTACTTAAATCAATTTTTCGGTATAGAAAAAAATGTTTTTTTATTAACTCAATTCATATTTATTTTCTAGACTTGATTCTGATCAACATGCACGTCGAACTGTACAGAAAAATTTACGTATTCTGGATCCAGATTATTATCGATTTGAAACACATGTGTTATTCGATGATGCTTTTGAAGATGATGAAAATGGCAATCGTGTACCAAATCGTTATGTTAAACAATTAGTTGCCGCTGTAAATGTTTCTGGAGCGTATGTACATGGTGTAGAGAAGGTTGTTGAAGATCCAATTAAAATTCCAACACCGTATGGTGGACGTCTTGTTTGGTTATTACCAGGAAAAAATCGTTTAATTGTTCATATGAAAGATAAATATTTAATACGACATAAAAAACGATGGAGTCAAGTTATGTATATGTATTATTTACTTTCATTTAAATTATTACGTCGAAAAAATGGTGGCAATAACTTGACACAACCGACAACAAATTTAGATGCAGATTTTATTGGTTTTAGTGAATTTTTAAAAAATTTACCACATGATAAAAAAATTTCTGTAAGAAAATATGAATAGATTAGAATTTTTATTATGTTAATTTTTAGGCTCAAAATACATTCGTATTAGCTCTTGATGGAGATGTTGATTTTAAACCAGAAGCAGTTCTATTATTAGTTGATCGAATGCGTAAAAATCCGAAAGTAGCTGCTGCTTGTGGTCGAATTCATCCAACAGGCGATGGACCTATTGTATGGTATCAACAATTTGAATATGCAGTTGGTCATTGGCTTCAAAAAGCTGCTGAACATAAACTTGGTAGTGTTCTTTGTTGTCCTGGTTGTTTTTCACTTTTTCGTGGTTCATCATTAATGGACGATAATGTTATGCGACGTTATGCAGATAAATCAACTGAAGCAGCACATTATGTACAATATGATCAAGGTAAAATATATCATTTTTGTTTTTCTAATTATTGATTTAATTGTTTGGTTTTGTTTAGGAGAAGATCGTTGGTTAACTACTCTTCTTCTTCAACAAGGTTATCGTGTCGAATATTGTGCTGCATCAGATGCATATACTCATGCACCGGAAACATTTAAAGAATTTTTTAATCAACGTCGTCGTTGGATGCCTTCAACAATGGCAAATATTATGGATTTACTTAAAGATACTAAACATACAACACATGTTAATGAAAACATTTCCAAAATTTATATGTTTTATCAAGCTGTTCTATTCGTATCGACAATTTTAGGACCAGGAACAATTTTATTAACTATAGCTTCAGCATTACGTACAGTTTTTTCAACATTAACTATTGCTGAATCATATACAATATCAATTCTTCCAGCAATTTTCTATATTATTGTTTGTTTAAAAACAAAAGCTAATACACAAATTGCTATTGGTGCTATAATGACAGCTATTTATGCTTTAGTTATGTCAATGGTTTTTGTTGCAACAGCTGCTCAAATCGTTAAATCAGGCCTTTTAGATCCAAGTGCTGTATTTCTTCCGACTGTTGCAGTTACTTTTATAGTTACTGGTCTTCTTCATCCAAATGAAATGTTTAATTTAATTCATGGTTTTCTCTATCTTATCACAATTCCTGGTGGTTATCTTCTTCTTGTTACTTATGCTTTATGTAATTTACATGTTGTTTCATGGGGTACAAGAGAAACAGTTGAAGTTGTTCGAAAGAAAAAACCAACGAAAGGAAATGGAAAAGAAATAGAAATTGTAAAACCAGGTAAATAGAAAAAAAAGATTTTAATTAAAAATAATTTATTTTTTGATTGAATTATTAGATCCTAAAAAACGTCGACCAACAGATGTTATAAATAATATGTTTTGGGGTAATGAGGGACAACGTGGTATTCTTCATCAAGCAGGTGATGTTATTGAACATGTATTTCGTCCAACAATGAAACGACAAGAAACACTTCTACAACAAATTCTTACTAGAATCGATCAAAGTGATATGAATCATGAAACAAATAAATTAATTAGTAAAAATCTAACTAAAACAAAACATAAATCAATTATTTTATTTTTAGATAGTAATACAACGAATAATACAAAAGAACTTACTATTAAAAGTGTTCCACTTATAATTACTTCGAATGATGATTCATCATCATCATCAAGTACAGCTAATTCATCAACAGTATCAACATCAATATTAAATAAATCACGAAATAATATGATTAATCCATATTGGTCAGAATTACCATGGCTTGGTTCAGAATCTGTTATTGGTTTTCTTCATACCGATGAAATAACATTTTGGCAGCAAATTCTAGCTAAATATCTTGCACCATTAGATAAAGATGCTGAAGAAGAACGTCGTATACAAAACGATTTAATTGGTTTAAGAAATAATGCTGGTTTTGCATTTTTTATGTTGAATGCTATATGGATAATATTACAATTTCAATGTGAATATGTTGCAACACAATTTACGGAAATTATGATTGATATTGGACAATTATTTGGACAACATGGTACTCGAGTACAAGTTTTAGGTTTATTATTTATGTTATTTTTTGCATCATGTATGATTATACAATTTTTTACAATGATATTACATCGATGGGGAACATTTGTTGAAATATTAGCTAGTACAAAATTATTTGAAAAACATCGAAAATATAAATTAAAACCCGGTTCAGATTTAGCTGGAATGTCCAGTCAAGAAGTTGCTGAAGTTTTAAAAGATTTAGATATTGAATTAGTTGTACCAACATCGACATTAATGCCAAAAGATAGTGTAACATATCAAATGGAATCTCTTTTAGATAATGATCAACAATATATAAATCAAGACGAATATGATGATAATGAAGAACAAGATGTATATAATGAACCACCTATTGATTATTTTGATCATCCAGTTGTACAAGATGCTATGGATGAAAGTCGTCTTCGATTTTAGTAATTTGCTTTAACTCTTTTTTTCTTTTCTTTTAAAAATAATTAACTTATAATTTACGTTACCCTTTTCTTTTTAATCTATTGTTATTACCGTTACTGATTTAATAAACAGTGTTTACATTTCAACAACAACAAAAAAAAATGTCATCCTAATTAAATAAGCAAATAATCCTTGACTCAAGTCTATTTTTGGAAAGAAGGTGTATATATACACGAACATAGTTTTAATTAACAAAATACTTCAATGTATGATTAATAATGATAATCATCTTGATGTTTTCAACATATCTATAATGAAACATTACTTGTCAATTGAAATTTAGAAGTATGTGAACTGACGTGATACACTTGCAAACGTAGATTTTAATAAATGATAAGCTAAGTCATATATTAAAATGAGAAAAAAAAATTTCTTTTTTTTTTCATACATATATATAAAAATGTTCAACTAAAATGAAAACCTTGAGAGAAATTTTCTTACATATATATATATATATACAAATTTACTTTTGCAATATATAAACGAAAAAAAAGTTATTATGTTTCAAGAAAACGCCTTTTTACAAATAGGTTTCATCAAAATTATAAATCACACATTAATCATAATATTAAATGTCGAATGAATAAATGCAAAACATGTTTTTTAATCATACCTATCCATTTATCGTCATATTATCTTTGGTATACACTCATTAATTATTAAGAAAAAGATTTGTCACTTTTTGTATTGAATATTATGTTTTGGGTGTGGATGAATGATTATACACATACCTGTATAGAATAGAATAGAATACAGGTATATTCGTATTTTTTCTATTATTTTCTTTTGTTTAGTTATGAAATAAACTTTTGTTATATATATACATATAAATGTATATATTGTATACTTCAAATAGTTGCATCATTCAATGATCTTGTCTGGTATTGTTGATTGGTTTGAGTGTTACCGCACTACCGTAAGATATATTTGTTTGATTACTTCTTTCTTTTTCTTTAACCCTACATTTTTCGTTGATGTTCGTTAAAAAAAAATCCGCAAAGAGAAAAAGAGAAGTATAGGCAAGGCTAGGGTCGGTTATGCTTCATTGCATTTCACTCATATACATCTATAAGTAAAGAAAAGAGAAAAAAAGATATTCTTATGATTTAGCCCAATGCGTATAACGAACATGAAGCTCAGCTATATATGTGTACATATCATAATAATGAATACAGTGTCCGCAATCACCTTTAAAATAGTCATATACATATACGGACACATTTATAAACGATTCATTTATGATCGTTAGTTTGTCACTATCATTTCTTTTTACATTGAAAACTTCTACTTGAACTAACAAATTGTGCCTTATATTAAATATATATATAGAACTTGATTGTGCTCTTTATAAATAGAATTTTATTTATAAAATTTAATCTGCAGGTAAGATAATTAGCATATCCTTAAATACAATTTTTTGTCTAGTTAACTAAATTTAGAGTGTATCATTTGTAAAACGTATTTTATTATTTTTTCTAAAAACCTTTACCTATATTTGATCATACCTATGATAAATATTACCTGTTTTCTTTAAATAATATTCTTGTATCATTGATAAATATATATATACATACAAAATATTTGTTACTGTTATATTTAATCAAGTGTATCTGTCTCAAGCAATATTTTATGACAGTATTGATGCTCTTCAGAGATTTTGTCAGTTCTAATTAGATACTTTCAAAATTGTATTTTTGTTTTTTTATTATGTTAACATGATAATAGTGATACGGTATAATATGAGGAACGATAGTTAAAAATAACAACAACATCGACTATTTATATAGTTGTTTGTATATTTTTAATTTGTTATCGATTGCGGTTTCTCTAGTGTAATAGGTGTGAAATAGTTCTTTTATCACTCTATCGTTACAATATAATGGTAATGTAAAATTAAATTTTTCAAATGAAAAAAAAAATTTAAGAGATTTTCAATTATTTCTTTTTTTCTCTATATCAGTCACATCTCCATGATGAGATCATTAATCTGTGTATGTCATTTTTCTATCTTTTCTTTCATATTCCTTGTCTTTTTCTCTATCTCTCTCCCATATATTTGCTGCATGTCAATCGATACGCTTGAGATGAAATGCAAGAGATAGGTTGTGCTTGTCACCCATTTTTGCTTCACATACTTATTTCTTCTTTTTCGGTATAGTCCAGACACACACACACACACTCACACATTCGAATATATATATGTTCGGTATTGTTGAGGACTGATTGTCGTTGTTGTTTATTAAAAGCTATGGTAGAGACTGTATATCATCCGTCACAATCGGCCTACGCACACATACATATGTTTGTGTGTGTATATGTGTGCGCGTGTGACCGAGTGTGTGAAGGTGAGCTGATAGTCATAAATGTATGCCTTTAGATTTTTCTCTACCGTTTTTAGGTAATTATTCTTATGGTGATGGTCGTATTGCGATATAAAAGTAAATATATATACGTATATTCACGCAACATATATATTGGCGTAGAGTGAAATAAAAAAACCGCAAAATTATAGCTTTACACATTGTCCTCGAACATACAATCATTGAATCATCGTGAAGGAAAATTTTGTTATTAGATGAATATAACAAATGAGGCCATTTTATTGATAGTCTTGTTTTTTTTGTTTCAGATTAGTTGATAGTTTGTTCTTGTAGTAAATTTTTATTTCTTGTCTGTTCACTTGCAATGATTGATCCGCGCTTTGCCAATGCTGGCGCCGTTCCTCTTAACTCCGGATATGGAGTACCGTCAGGTTCTGTTCATCATCATCATCGTCATCGTCATCATCGACAACGTAAACCTAGACAAGGCGGTATTGGTGAATCACCGTTAAGCCGTGATGAATCAATACATAAAGTAGATCACGGTCATCCTTTTCAACCACGTAAGACATTAACTCTAAATTAAAATAACAAAAAAAAAAAACGTATACGAATTTTCTTATTATAGAGGAAAGTGCACAACATGGTAATGGATTCGGTGTACCATATGGTGCGAGTGGTATTGGAGTAGGTGGAGGAAGCTATTATCAACAACAACCACAACAACAACAACAACAACAGCAATATGGTGGTAGTAGTGGTGGTGGTGGTTATGGTTTTGGACATCAGCATCAAAGTAATGGCTATGGACAACAGGGTCAATATGGTGGTAATTCTGGAGCATCTATGATGAGACATCATCGACGACGACATCGTTATCATGGTGAAACAATGCATTCTAATGCCGATCAAAGTCAAGGGATACCAGAGTAAGTTTCGTTAAAAAATACAATTTGTATGCATAAAATTTTCTATTTTTAGGCAATTAATTGGTCAACGTTCATCAAGTGTATTAGGAAACGAAGCACCACAAGTACGCTCACCAATTCCATCAGGTGGTGATAGTGATGCAAGAGTTGAACAAGTGACTCATTCACGACGTCGTCATCATCGTAATCATAGTACAGAACATGCGGGTTATGCACAAGCACATCAATCACGTTCTTCTCAAGGTCGTACAACAGCTGGTCCGGATGGTTACGGACATATTAATGATGATCTAATTTTTATTGAACGTGGTGATCATAGTCCACATCGACAAGAACCACCACCTGGTTATGAATATAAAGGAAAAATCGAAGTCCAAGGTCTTGACAAAGAAACTCGTTCACGATCTCAAGGCCATAGTTCAGGTCTTTCACCACAACCAGCATCTGCACCATTACCATTAACAATGACAAATCCTTGTGCAGGACTATCAACTATGGGAACTATGGGTGGTTGTCCACCTGGTTGGCAACAAATGATTTTGACAGCTGCTCCTGGTGGTCCATGTCCACCTGGTGCTACTATGTATACAGGACAAATTATTTCAAGTGGTGGTATGCCTCAACCTGGTCTAGGTGGTATGGGTGGTCTTACTAATACATCAGGTGGTATGGGTTATGGCGGAGGTTAGTCACTTAATATTATCTATTTAATGTACATTTTCATTAATATATTTTTTCATATATATATTTATTAGTTGGACCAATTGGAGCAACTGGATCAGGTGGTGGACTAGCCAATTTAGCAGCAAGTCTTCCAATTCCACCACAAGGTCAACTTGTAGCTGATTATATTGTTGAAGCAGGTGCTAGCGATATAGGTGGATCAAGTGGAGGTGGTTATTCTTCTAGTTATCAACAGGCTAGTGGTTGTGGTGGTGCTGCTGGTGGTGCTAGTTATGGAGAACAGTAAATTATTATATTTTCTACTATCATATAAAAAAAATGTTTCTGTTTTCTTTTTTTATTCTAGAGAAATAGAAGCAAATACTTCGAGTCGAGCAACAATTATAGAAGTTTGGCAAAAACGAAGCAAAGTATAGATTCAAACTTTTTATTTCGATATTAATTGATAGAAAATATTTTTATTTTTCAAGAGTGAAGGACCAGGAAAATCACGTTCACGTTCACCATCAGGATCACGAAGTCCAAAATCAGGTTCACAATTCGATTTCGAACGATTCCGAAATGAAATTCTTGCAGCTATCGAGTAAAGCTTTTTAATATTTAAACTATTCATTTTTATATTTTTTATCAAAAATTTTTGTAGACGTATGGCACAAACTGGAGGATCAGGTGCGAAAATACAATGGACAGGACACGATGGTGGTACACAAACTCAGATTAATCCAACTACAGGCTTTGATGATAAGAGAGAAACAGAAAGAAGACCGACAAGTAGTAGTGCTGGTGAAGTTAGAGTTATTGTGCAACCTATTCAACCTGTCTTCTATATGCCACGACAAGGTAAAAACAAAATATATTAAAATTATGTTCTACAATTCCTTTCCATTTCTACAATAGGTGAAACAGCGTCGACAACAGGAGTATCAACGGGTCCTTCTATACAACAAACAAACACCGGACCACCTAATGTTGTTTATATTCCACGTAATGTTTACGTACCTGTTATTAAACCTGTCTTTGTTCCACGAGAACGTAAGATTTCTCATATGATAAAATTTCTTTTTTAAAACAATCTATATATATTATTTTTCGTTCATAGGTGTAATTGTACGTCCTCAAGTCATACATGTAGCTCGACCTGTGCTTGTTGATCGACCAGTACCTGTTACACAACGACCAATTATTATTGATCGTGAACGACCAGTTCCTGTTCCTTTACGTAATGGTGGTGGTGGTGGTAATAATAATGTTAATCAAGAAGTTGAAACTAAAACTGTTAAAGAAGAATACGTCTATCGAGATAATTTACCAGTCGCTTATGGTGGTCGTTGTGCTGACTTTACGGGTGGTACTAATTATGGTTATACGCCTACTCAACAAGAACAACAACAGTATACTACAGATACAGCTCATGAAATGACAAGTAACTATAATACACAAGGAACAACAATTCCAGACCATTTTCAACATAGTCAATCGGCTGCTCAACTCAATCTACAACAAGGTGGTGGTGGTGGTGGTAATAATTATCAAGAATCATACTCTAATTTAGCTCGAACAAGTAGTGCATCAGCTGTCGATGCTGGACCACTTAGTTGTACAGCCCCAATTGAAGTACTCGATGCAACTATTAATAATTCTTGGCAAAGAACGGATAAATCAACGTTAGTACGTCGATATGGTCGTCCAGCATACGATATTGTTCAAAAAACTGATCAAGTAGAACAGCAAATGTATCAAGAACTTCGTCAACGAAATGGTAGTGGCGGCGGTGGTGGTGGTGGTGGCGGTGGTGCTCAAAGACCTGACTCGTCAAATAGTTATGCATCAGGTTCTGGTATAGGTGGTATGACGACTGGCGGTTATACTGGTAGTACTGGTTCATACACACAAATTCCTGTTGCCGAGATGAAAAATTATCATGTAGATGGTATGCAACATCTTCATCATCATCATCAAGGTCAAGGACATATGCCAGTATCGATTAATTATTAAAATTCATTCTATATTCGTGTTTGTTTATTATAATTTGAACATTTATCGTACTTGTCGTGTTCTGTTAATAGACACTACTTTTATACGACGATATTCATCGTTGTTTATTATATTAATTGTCATAACTACTTTATATTTATCGCATTTAGGCTAGAAGAATCAATTTTCTTCTTTGTCATCGTTTTAAATGTTTTTATTGTATTGTGTTGTTTATTGCTCGTTTTTTGAAATATTTCTCTTTTTTTTGCTAGAATACTTTTCATTGATGCTATTTCTTTTTCTTTTGCTCTATTTCAAAATAAAACAGATAAGACTTGTCAAATTTTGTTGTCTAATAGACTAATTAAAGATTTCTTTTCACAAAATACATTATTTTATCTTACTGAAAACAAGCGCTTCCTATCACCTAGATTTTTTTTTCAAAAAAAAGAAAAAGAAAATATTGATTCGTATTTCGTTTATTTTTATCTTATTATGCATCATAAGAACTTACCATCATCAAATAATAATATTATTGATGGACATTTATCATTGGATTATATTGTTTGTGTAATTTATGATAAAATAAAAGATGTCTATTTAATGAATAATTATCAACAACGTGGTGGTCTTTGGTTTTTATCTAGTGAACGTCGTATTAATGAAACATCACTTCAAACAATTAAACGTTTACTTGATCCAATTCTTATTTATGATTCTGATCAAATACACTTAGTTAAAGTTTGTTCAACAAAAACTCTTCCATTTAAAGGTCGTGATGTTCTATTCTATGCTATTATGCCTAAATCAACTACTACAATTAATATATGGTTAAATGGTAAAGTTGATGGAATTGATATTGAACGACAATTAAATACTTTACATGATAATTCTATTGTTTGGTTAACAACTATTCAATTGAAATATATTAGTAAATTATCTCGTTTATTAGGTATAGAACCATTAACATTAAATAAACAATTTAAAGATATATTTCATTCAACTATAAAAACAAATAATACAACTGTTATTTACGAAGAAATTAAAATACCACAAATTGAAACAATATCGAAATCAACTTATAATAATGCTGCTGAAACACTTCTTCTATCAGCTAAATTTACATCAACGATTCAAGAAAAACTCTATGAAGAATATCATCATTCTGTATTACCATCGGATTATTTGAATTTCGAAACATTTAAAAATCTAATATTACGTAAAGGTTTAGAATCTTCACATATTACAGATTATTTTCGTGCATTTGATTCAACACAACGAAATTATTTAACATTTCTTGATTATTTACTTGGTCTTGCTGCATTAGATCCAAATACTCAACATGGTGGTGTACCAGCTGAACAACGTTGTCGTTATATATTTCGTTATTATAATATCAATAATAATCAACGAATGACATTTGATGAATTCAAAATAATGATTAAAGATATACATAAAAATAAAGGACAAAATTTAATAGGTGATGCATTGAACGATGAAACATTACAAATGTTTCGTTCATTTGGACTACGATCATCTGATCAAACATTAAATTTAATGGATTTTTTATCAGGTGTTGGACAACTTCGATTTCGTGGTACATCTGTATTATTTCGATTAACTATGTCAATAAGTGATTGTTTTAAACGAACATCAACACCAAATACATTAGTAATACCATCATCATCTTCGAATATAACCACATCAAATCGAACTTTAAGTACACTAACAATGGCACGACGTTCTGGTACACAACAACAACAACAAATATCTGTTGATGATACACATCCATATGAAATTGCTACACATATTGTTAAAGTTTGTTTGATGATTTAATAAGAATTAATTTTTGTAAATAATATTAATTTTAGGTAAAGAGAACAGGTGTTGTTGTTGATATAACATCATTGTATGATTTGGAAATAGCAGGAGCTATAAGTGGTAGTACAGCTTTATTTTTTGATGATGACAATGGTAAATTTGATCGAATCAATAGTCAAGATTGTTTTAATCAACGTACACATGCAAATGAAATGCTCAATGGATTACGTTATTTTGAACGAGGATCTAAAGAAGGTTATTATATTAAACTAAATTTTCTATGTACTTTTTTTTCTTCTTCTCAGGAGGACCTGCATTAAAAGATGCTTTTACATGGGGAAAAGTTGATATGTCAGCAATGGCTCGTTGTTTATTAGTTTTATGTAAACAGATTTATTCAATTTTTATTAAAGAAAATCGATTGTTACGTGTTTCATCAGCTTGTTATATTTGTAAATAACAAAAGAATATTACTTTTATAATTTTCGTATTAATCTAGTGGGTGATTTACATGGAAATTTTCGTGATTTAATTTGTTTTGAAAAAACATTCTGGCGACTTGGACCTGTACTTACACCAGCATCCATACTATTTTTAGGTATATTTAATAATTTATCACTCCAAATAAAAATAATATTATCTTAGGTGATTATGTTGATCGAGGTTTAGAAGGTGTGGAAGTTGTCGCTTATCTTTTTGCTCAAAAAGTCCTTTGTCCACATAAAGTTAGTTAAAAACAAACATATTTCTTAATAAAATCTAAAAGTAAACTTTTTTTTTTGGTGTTTCTTTTACGTGGTAATCATGAATTACGTAATGTTCAAGATATGTTTCAATTTCATGGTGAATGTCGTCGAAAATTTGGTATGGACCTTGGTGAACAAGTTTGGGAAGAAATAAATCGATGCTTTGATGCAATGCCTATATGTAACAATTAATTTTTATATAACAAAATATTGTGTTCTTTTTTGCTTGACTTAGGTGCACTTGTTGATAATCGTATTTTATGTGTTCACGGTGGTATACCATCATTAGATATAAAAAATGATTTTTTTAAATTAGTTTCACAAATTCCATGTCCATTACGTGATCCAGAAAATGAATCACCACTTGCTTGGGAACTTCTCTGGAATGATCCATTATCAAATGAAATAAATGATTTAGAAAATATCAATAATGAATTTATTTCAAATGTTCGTCGTGGAACAGGATTTTTCTTTTCATCAAAAGCATTAAATGATTTTCTTCAGCAAAATTCATTATCTTATGTTGTACGTGCACATGAAGTTCAACAACAAGGTTTTAAAGTATATATTCATTTACAAATATATAAAATATCTTTATAAAAAAAAGAATTAATCTTTATTTAAAGGTTCAACTTAATGGTCGTTTACTAACAGTATTTTCATCTAGTCATTATTGTGGTGGTGAAAATGAAGCGGCAACAGTTTTATGTGATTCAAATAAACTTCGATTGATTCGATTGGATACAAGCAGTTAAATTACCTCGATATATATGAATGTTTATATGGATTAGTTAATATAAACTATTTCCGATCAATACTTGATGACATTAAAAGAAAAAATGAATAAAGAACAGGAATATCTATCTCATATCCTGTATAATATCTTTTTTTTGCTCAAAAGCAGAAACAAATCCTAATATAATTGTATCAGTATTTCCGTTATAATATAGTAAAAATAAAACTATAGTTCAATGTTTAATCAGAAGAAGGAAATTGTTCAAGTTAATCTTCTTTTTCTTTATTCATTATCCAGGGAAAATAAGCTTAGATCTTTGTATAAAAATCAATGTAAGTGAATATTTAAGTTTGATTCATAATTTCTCTTTTTTTTTCGAAGACAACCTTTTTATTCTATGTACGAATGACACACACACACACACA